CTCTCTGTCTCTCACAGCCGTGCCCGGGCTCCTCGTGCCACCCTGAGCAGCAGCCGTGGATGGGACCGAGCGCAACCCATGCTTGGGGGCCGGGGGCTCAGGGCTCGGGACCCCCGTCTCCAGCTGCACACAGTGCTATGGGGCAGTGGGGTGATGCTGCATGGGGCAGTGGGAGGGGGCGGCGGGCTCAGATCTCGGCTCTGCCACGTGGTTGAACCAAACCCTCCCAGTTCAGCCCCATAGCCGTGGAGCGGGGAGATCTGTGGTGACACTGCCCACCGTGGGGCACCCCACAGAGGGGGGCGCCACGGTGGGAAGCTCCGCTGTGGGGCGGTTTGGGGCGGGATGCTCCGCAATGGGGTGTTGTGTGGGGGGACAGCGCAGGGCGGGACGCTCCATGGGGGGACCTTCCTTCATGGGATGCTCCCTTTAGGGATGCTCCGTGTCAGGATGTTCCATCAAGGGACGTTCCACGTTGGGATGCTCCGTGGTGGGATGTTTTGTCATGGGATGCTCCACACTGGGATGCTCCATCATGGGATGCTCCTTTAGGGTTGCTCCATGTTGGGATGTTCCGAGGTGAGGTATTCTATCATGGGATGCTCCATGTTGGGATGCTCCATCATGGGAAGCTCCCTTTAGGGTTGCTCCATATTGGGATGCTCCATGGTGGGGTGTTCCTTCATGGGATGTTCTATCATGGGATGCTCCATGTTGGGACGCTCCATCATGGGATGCTCCCTTTAGGGATGCTTCACATTGGGGTGTTCCATCATGGGATGCTCCCTTTGGGGTTGCTCCATGTCAGGATGTTCCATCAAGGGACGTTCCACGTTGGGACGCTCCATCATGGGAAGCTCCCTTTGGTGTTGCTCCATATTGGGATGCTCCATGGTGGGGTGTTCCTTCATGGGATGTTCTGTCATGGGATGCTCCATGTTGGGATGCTCCATGTTGGGATGCTCCATGTTGGGACATTCCATCATGGGATGCTCCCTTTGGGGTTGCTCCATGTTGGGATGTTCAATCAAGGGATGTTCCACGTTGGGATGCTCCATCATGGGATGCTCCCTTTGGGGTTGCTCCACCTTGGGATGCTCTATGGTGGAGTGTTCCATGTTGGGATGTTCTGTCATGGGATGCTCCATGTTGGGATGCTCCATCATGGGATGCTCCCTTTAGGGTTGCTCCATTTAGGGATGCTCCATCAAGGGACATTCCACATTGGGATGCTTCATGTTGGGATGTTCCATTATGGGATGCTCCCTTTAGGGATGCTTCACATTGGGACATTCCATTATGGGATGCTCCCGTTGGGGATGCCCCATGGTGGGATGCTCCACGTTGGGATGCTCCACGTTGGGACGCTCCATCATGGGAAGCTCCCTTTGGTGTTGCTCAATATTGGGATGCTCCATGGTGGGGTGTTCCTTCATGGGATGTTCTGTCATGGGATGCTCCATGTTGGGATGCTCCATGTTGGGACACTCCATCATGGGATGCTCCCTTTGGGGTTGCTCCATGTTGGGATGTTCCATCAAGGGACGTTCCACGTTGGGATGCTCCATATTGGGATGTTCCATCATGGGAAGCTCCCTTTAGGGTTGCTCCACACTGGGATGTTCCATCAAGGGAAGTTCCACCTTGTGACGCTCCATCATGGGATGCTCCCTTTAGGGATGCTTCACATTGGGACATTCCATTATGGGATGCTCCCATTGGGGATGCCCCATGGTGGGATGCTCCACAATGGGATGCTCCACGTTGGGATGCTCCATCATGGGATGCTCCCTTTGGTGTTGCTCCATATTGGGATGCTCTATGGTGGAGTGTTCCATGGTGGGATGTTCTGTCATGGGATGCTCCACGTTGGGACACTCCATCATGGGATGCTTCCTTTGGGGTTGCTCCATATTGGGATGTTCAATCAAGGGATGTTCCACGTTGGGATGCTCCATGTTGGGATGCTCCATCATGGGATGCTTCCTTTGGGGTTGCTCCTTTTCAGGATGTTCCATCAAGGGACGTTCCACGTTGGGATGCTCCATCATGGGATGCTTCCTTTGGGGTTGCTCCACCTTGGGACGCTCCATCATGGGATGCTCCCTTTGGTGTTGCTCCACATTGGGACGCTCCATGGTGGGATGTTCCATCATGAGATGCTCCACGTTGGGACACTCCATCATGGGATGCTCCCTTTGGGGTTGCTCCACCTTGGGATGTTTCATCATGGGATGCTCCATCAAGGGATGCTCCCTTTGTTGTTGCTCCATGTCGGGATGTTCCATCAAGGGACGTTCCACCTTGGGATGCTCCACAGCAGGCTGCCCCATGGCACAGCTCTGCATGGTGGGACGCCCCATCCGGCCCGGCCCCCCTCTCGCCGCCCACACTCGCTCCAGATGTGCATTTCCAGATGTGCAGCCACCCCCCACAGCTGGCAGGGCCGGCTCCATGCAGGGCCGAGTCGGGACGCCCAGCTGGGGATGCACCCCACCCCCAGGCACAGCTCCCCAATGGGGCACGCAGCACTTTGCCCCCCCCTCCATCAGCCCCACCAGCAGCCGGAGCCCCCCGGACGCAGCTGCAGCTCTTCTAGCGTCATTATTGCTACAATTACTATTAATAATAATAATATTTTTAGTGACAGGTGAGGGCGGGGGGCTCCGTTGGGCCCTATGGGAGCCCCCCATCCTGGCGCTACTCCCCCCCCCGTTCCCCCCCCCAGCTGTGGGATGATCCAGCACTTCCAGGTGGGCGATGCCACATCCATTAAGGGGGAGCAATCACATTTTGTAAATAAAGGAAATGAAAAAGAACCTCCCCCCCCGCCTCCCCCCATGCAGGGCACCCCCTCACCACGTGGGTCAGCCCCCTCCCCAGCTCCTGCCCTGCCCAGGATGGGGGTCCGGGCTGAGGGACCACCGGCGCCCATCAGGACAGCGGTGTCCCCATATGGGGTCTGCATCCCCTGCACGATGGGGGCGCTGGGGGGGTTGGGGACAGAAATAAAAGGACTTGCAGAAAGGCTGCGTGCGCTGTGGGGCCTGGGGGGGAAACCATGGGGGTGTGGGGAGAGTGTGCAGCTGTGAAAGTGTGTGTGTGTGTGTGTGTGTGTGTTTGTGTGTGTGTGTGTTTATGTGTGTGTGTGTGTGCAGACACAGGTGGCTGTGCACGGGGCTGCCGTCGTGGCATCCATTCATAAGGGCTGCCCACACCTGGAACACCACCACAGCGACCCCACAGCTGTGGGGCACATGAGGGTGGTTCACAGACGGGAGAAGCATCCCCACCTCATGCCCATCCCCATCCCCATCCCCATCCCATCCCCACCTCATGCCCATCCCCATCCCATCCCATCCCATCCCATCCCATCCCATCCCATCCCATCCTATCGCCACCCCACCCCATCCCCATCCCATCTCCATCCCATCTCCATCCCCATTCCATCTCCACCCCATCCCCATCCCATCCCCATCCCCATCCCCATCCCCACCCCCACCCCATCCCATCCAATCCCATCCCATCCCATCCCCATCCCCATCCCCATCCCATCTCCATCCCATCCCATCCCCACCTCATGCCCATCCCCATCCCATCCCATCCCATCTCCATCCCCATCCCCATCGCCATCCCATCTCCATCTCCATCCCCATCCCCATCCCCATCCCCATCCCCATCCCATCCCCATCCCCATCCCATCCCCATCCCCACCCCATCCCCATCCCCATCCCATCTCCATCTCCATCCCCATCCCCATCCCCATCCCCATCCCCACCCCATCCCCATCCCCATCCCATCCCCATCCCCATCCCCATCCCATCCCATCCCCATCCCCATCCCCATCCCCATCGCCATCCCATCTCCATCCCATCTCCATCTCCATCCCCACCCCATCCCATCCCATCCCATCCCATCCCCATCCCCACCCCACCCCATCCCATCCCACCTCCATCCCATCCCCATCCCCATCCCATCCCATCCCATCCCATCCCCATCCCCATCCCCATCCCATCCCATCCCACCCTCATCCCATCCCCATCCCATCCCATCCCATCCCACCCCATCACCCTCCATCCCCTGCCTACTCCCTGGGGTCCCACCCCCCCTCCATTTCTATGGGTGCCTCCCACCCTTGGGTCCTGGGCAATATGTGAAGAAGGGACCCCCACCCAGGGCACAGCCCCATCTCTGCCCTCACAGCCTCTACGGCTGTGCTGCTGCTCCCCCCACCCTGCTGAACAGCAACGTTTAGATTAGAGGATAATGTGCTGGAAATAATTGCCTTAATCAAGAAAGGTTAATGAGGTGCCTGTGTGCGCAGCACACGGCACGGCGGCAGCGGGTGCAGCACCCACAGGTGGCACTGGGGACGGTCTGGGGCCACTTCATCCACAAAGGGGGACGAATGTGGGGCCACCCCGTCCCCATGGGCATCGGGGGGCACGGCGTGTCAGTGGATGTGGGATGTGGGCCATGGGACACAGCATGGGACATGGCCACCACGAGGACCTGTGAGGTATGGGACACCATGGGGTATGGGACATGGTGGGATGTGGGACATGGTGGGATATGGGACATGGTGGGATATGGGACACCATTGGGTATGGGACATGGTGGGATATGGGACACCATGGGATATGGGACATGGTGGGATATGGGACACCATGGGGTATGGGACACCATGGGATATGGGACACCGTGGGGTATGGGACATGGTGGGATATGGGACACCGTGGGTCATGGCCTAAAGGGACACGGCTGGACACCATGTCACCCTGGATGCTGGTGGGACAGACCCAGGGGACACGGATGGACAGCACGAAATGTGCTCAGCCAGCATACAAAGACACTCATGGACACCATGGGACATGGGACACCAATGGGAGACCAGGGGACACGGATGGGCACCATGGAATGTGCACAGCTGGAGCACAATGGCACACGTGGACACCAACAGGACACCAACGGGACACCAACGGGACACCAATGGGACAGGGGACAGCGCTGGACACGGACTGATGGCCTGAAGGACACAGCTGGACGCACACAGCTGGCTCACAGGGACACCCCGGGACGTGGGACTGCTGGACATGGGGCACCAGTGGGACACGGAGCCAGGGGACGCGGATGGACACCACGGAACGCGCACAGCTGGGCACAATGGCTCCCAGGGACACCACGGGATAGGGGACACCAACGGCCACCACGGGACACCAGTGGCACAGGGGACACCAACGGCCCGAAGGGACACGCCGGACCCCCCGGAGCGCAGACAGAAGCACGGACACGCGCGCCCGGTGCCACGGCACTTTATTGGCGGAGCGGCAGCGCGGGGCCGCGGGTCGGGCGCGGCGTGGCGGCGGCGGCTCAGTAGCGGCGGCGGCGGCGGCGGCGGCGGCTCCCGTAGCGGCGGCGCCGTCCCCCAACGGAGCGGGCGGAGCGCCGGGCGCTCCCGTAACGGCGGCGTCGGGAGCTGCGGCGGCTGCCGGAGCGGCGGCGGCGGCGGCGGCGGCGGCGGGGGCTTCTGCTGCGGGTCCTGCTGCGCCGGTAGCGGGCCATGCCGGGCTGCGGTGGGGCGGCGCCGCGGCGGAGCCGAGCCGGGCGGGACCGGGAAGTGCCGCTCCGCGGCCCCGCGCCGCTTTTATAGGCGCCCGCGGGCGCGGCCCTCTGTGACGGCCGGCCGAGTCACTGAGCAGAACGCGCCCGGTTCGGCTCATGTAGGGCGGAATGGGGGGGGGATCGAAGAGGAGGGGGGGGGGGGGGTCATGTATGGGGGTCCTGGCAGGGGCGGCGCCGTGGGCGAGGAGCGGGGGGACCGCGTGGCACCGCGGCGACGGCGCGGGGCGCTTACAAGGCGTCGAAAGGAGCCCGGCCCGCATCGCCGCTGTGCGAGCTCTCGATCGGCCTCTGATGCCCCGCCGCCCCCCACAGCCCCCCTATGGTTCAGGCCCGTGGCCATTGCTGGGGACGTGGGACGCGCCGAGGCTCGGGCTGCGCTCAGCACCGAGGCTGGCATCGGCACTCATTGGACCGCAGGTGAAATTGACCCCACGGCACCAGGATCGGAACCTTCTCCCCAAATCCTTTGCGTTGCCCCAGGCGATTCTTTATTTCCCCGGGCACGGGACCCTCCTCCTCCCCCCCTTATTACTGCAGGCGCCGCCGTCTGCATCCATAGCAGAGCCCTCTCACGTCCTGCGCGGGGTGAGGAAGGAACGAAAAGGCTTCGGGCGATGCCGCAGCGATCCGGTGCGAACAACGGGAACTTCAGCGAAAGAAAGCACAAGTCCATTGGAAAGGGAAAGGCTGCGAAAGAAATGCGTGCGGCATTAAATGAGCGCTCGTTAGCACAGCGCAACGCGAATCCTAACTCAGCAAACGGCGCTCGGTGGCCTTCAGTCCGTTCCCGGTGTGGATTTTGTCTTCGTTAAACACGGATCGTGCGATCGTGCGCCCGGATGGGGGGAAAAGGGAGGGGGGGCGGCCGGAGGAGCGTCCGCCGGTGCGCTGCGCTTCTCTCCGTCGGCACACAGGGGTGCGCAGCGGCTGCAATGAGGGACGGGACTTCGCTGCTCGCCGGGATCTCGGCCGGATGGAAAATGGGAAATTCGGAGCGTTTCCAAGGCGGGGCGCAGGGCGGCACAGGGCGCACAGCGGGGTGGCACCTGGCACGGGGGGTGGCTCGTGGCACAGGGGTGGCAGCGCGCACCGAGTGACGGCACGGCGTGAGGGAGAACGCAGAAGACTTTTCGGAGACCGGATCTCTGGTGGGAACGCTTTAATTCCCGATTGCAGCGGCGGGATCCGGCGAGCCGGAACGTTCAACGTCACTGCTTCGTATCCCCCGATGTTAATTACTCCGCGCCGCTCCTCGTTAATTGAGTACTCCGGGTTCACGATCTGACACTTGCTCTTGTATTTACAGCCACATTCCGTCTACCTTTAATCTTTAACACTTCGTAACCCCACCTCCTAATCTTGCCTGCCCCATCCGCCTCCAGAACCTTGGCAGCGGAGCTTCCCGCTGTCTGCCTGCCCATCCCAGCTGGTATTTGAGGGCAGACCAGCGGGGTTTTTCATTCGCAAAGACGCTTTTGTTCCTCACACGCGTAATTTTGCGGGGCGATGGCACAGGGCGACGAAACCACGGGGCTGTGGCACGGAGCGACGGCACAGCGGGGTCTGCGCGCACCCGCACTGCGTCCCTATGAGCACTGGGGGCTGGAATGCATGGGAATGAGAAGGGCTCGGCTTCCCATCTGCGCACTGAGCCCGTGTCACACGCTGTCCCCATCTGTGTCACACACTGTTCCGGTGTGAGCTGTTGGAGGAGCTGTTGGAGAGGGAGCAGAGGAGGCACAGAGATGAGCAGGGGCTGCAGCATCGATCACAAAGGCAGGCTGAGGGAGCTGGGCTCGTTCAGCACGGAGAAGAGAAGCTGCGGGGTGACCTCAGAGCAGCCTGCAGTGCCTGAAGGGAGCCTGCAGCCAGGAGGGGAGGCAGCTGTGTGCAAGGGGAGATGGCAGCAGGACGAGGGGAAACGGCTGGGAGCTGAGGGAGGGCAGCTTGGGGTTGGGTGTCAGGGGAAGTTGTGTGCTGTGAGAGCGGGGAGGGGCTGAACAGCTGCAGAGAGGCTGCGATGCCCCGTCCATCCCTGGAGGGGTTGGAGGTTGGATGGGGCCCTGGGCAGCCTGGGCTGCTGTGCAATGGGGAGGTTGGGGGCCCTGCGTGCGGTGAGGGGTTGGAGGTTCGTGATCCTTGAGGTCCCTTCCAACCCAATTCTGTGGCTCTGTGCTGTCACACACGGTCCCCGTCCCACAAACACTCGCACGCCGCTCGGCCCCGCGGTTCTCCGGCACGCTCGGGCCGTGACGCACCCCCAGGTACCCGGGGCGCGCGGTGCGGTTGCTGGGCGCTGACGGCACAAGGTCCCCGAGGCGCCGCGTTCCGCGCCCGCCGCCGCCGTCCCTCCGCGCCCCGCAGCGCCATGTG